ATATGTGTACATTTGATTGTTATGTGTTAGAAATTTCCAGTTTTGTTTCGATCTGCTGAAAAAAGTTTCATTTAAACTTACATAACACACTTATAAGTTTTTAAATAAATGCCTGCAAAGAAGTATATTCGAAAGCGACAATAATCGTTAGAACAGAGTCAGGCACACAGTTTTCTACAGATTTTTTGCAAGAATTACACTGTGCAATTTCATTTTAATTACTACTCTTGAAATATACCTTACATAATTTACATATGTTGAAGTGATAAAATTTATATTTTTTTTTATAATACACTCATGAGCAAAACTTAAGAATATGCATTTACATAGAAACCATGTTGGGAGACAGTGGAAAGTGCATGTAGTGTTTCCTAGTTTAAGTCCTTGACTGCGTGTCATACTTAATCCACGAACCTACCGCTTGGTGGCAATTTAAACACTCGTTGTAGTCAGATACGTGCCGCGCGCAGTCTCAGCACACCAATAGTTGTGTTTGTTGCATCACAGATTAAATACACCAGCAATGTTCGTGGCCATACTGGTAGTGCACATATATGAGAATGGTGCAGAGACAGCATTTGGATGATTCTATGCGTGGACGAATCATCGGAGGACTGGAGAGCGGTCAGACCCAAATGGATGTGTCGCGTGCATAGAGCGTCCCCCAAAGTGTCGTCTTAAGGGTCCAGCAACGATTCCAGCAGGGTTAAAACGTCACTCGCAGGTGTGGCGAAGGCGGTACAAGTTGTACCACCCGCCAAGAAGACCATTACTTCACCTAACTGCCAGATGCAATAGACACAGCACAATTTCAGATCTCGCTAGAGAACTTGCAGCTGATATAGGGACCAACATTTCAAGATTTACAGTGTACAGACAGTCAGCTAAGAAAGACCTGTATCCCAGACCAGCAACATATGCTCCATTAAATGAAGTGCAAAGGAAAGCTCGTTTGATCCAGGGAACATCACACATGGACCCAGGAGCAATGGAGTCATGTCTTGTTTACAGATGAATCCAGGCTAGTCTCAGCAGTGATTCACGACGTATCTTCATCTGGAGAGAACCTAGGACACAGTTCTGTCCAGAGAACATTACTGAACTGGATCAGTACAGAGGTGGAGGAGTCATGGTGTGGGGTGGCATCATCCTGAGGTCTCACACTCTTCTGCATATCTTTCCACGTGGTTCGATCTCAGGTGCAATGTATCGGAATNGGTGTGGGGTGGCATCATCCTGAGGTCTCACACTCTTCTGCATATCTTTCCACGTGGTTCGATCTCAGGTGCAATGTATCGGAATTCCATCCTAGACTAATACTTTCGTTTCTTTCGAAGTGCAGTTGGCAGTGATTTCATTTTGATAGATGATAATGCTCGTCTCAGTCGGGCAGGCGTAGTGAACAAGTAGCTTGAAACAAAAGATATCAGACAATTTGATTTGCCCAGTCACTTGTTGGACTTGAATCCAATAGAGCATGCACGGGACATGCTTGGCAGGCGGATTGCACATCGTCAAATGGCTCCAAGGTCCATACCTGAGCTCAGGGAAACACTGATTCAAGATTGGGAAGCCATACTCCAGCCACTTCTTGATAACCTCATTCTCAGCATGCGTTCTCGTTGTGGTGCATGTGTTGCAGAGCAGGGTGATCACACACACTATTAATATCTTTGTGCCACACTTTGTTTCCTGGACTAACACATGTGTACGTTTTCTGATTTTCACACCATTCTCAATTGTTGTCCATGTTGCCCACTCTGTACCTTTTCTAAAACTGTTTGCAGTTTGATACCATTTGCAATGCAACCTGCAATCCATACATAAAAAATTCCCCTTGTTTTTCCTGTCATAAATACCTTACACCACATTATCCTTAAGTTTTGCACATGAGTGTATTTAGAGTGAAATATTTTTAAATGTCAGCTAGTAAATAATTATATTTATATTTCTTACTTAAAATATATGTTTGTGTATGTTATTTTTGTTATGAAAATTTCCGTAATCTTAATGTCTATTTCATAAGAAATATAACTAAAAATATATTTTATATTTCAGATATGGATATGCATTTTCATCACAATTGTGTTATTTGTTTTCATCGCACATGCCATGTTAAAAAGAGAAGCTCAAATTTTAGACAAGGAGTATCCAAAGTTTTCAACTCTCTGCTGGATGTTAATAAGAAATGCTTTTCTTCAAGGTGGGGAAACAGATCTTTAGCACATAAGTATTTTTTACTTATGTTTATCTTTTATAAACATAAGTAAAAAATACAGTAATACATAGGTTTTTGTTGACTTCGGTTATTCTCAATTTCGGTTTTTGTCGAATTTTTCCGCGAAAAATTTGCATCGGTTTTCTTCGATGACCTCACTGAAAACAATGGACAATACATGCGTATTCCTGCTTAGTGTGGCGTTATTTCTCGTTGTGTGAGCAATTCCAATTCCATTGCTTTCCTTTCCTTATAGTTCTGTCATGGGACCAAATAGAGTTATGAGAGCCAGCAGCCCTTCGAAGAAGATGGCCAAGAACACGATTGGGTTGAAGGAAATTATTGAAAAATACGAGAGTGGCATCAAAATTGCTGAAATCGGCCGCATTTACGAGAAGTCGCCATCCATTGTGAAAACAATAAATGAGGCGAGCCGTGAATGTGCTAACAAAACAGAAATCGCAAACAATTGAAGCTGTTGTGCAGTTATTATTAATTTAGATCAATTAAAAGCAGTTAGATGAAGATTCTGTTTCGGTGCCCATCATATTAGTCTTCTATATTCATTTTGTATTAATTTCTAATTGGGTTTAGTATTAAACACTATATTTATTTTTTTTAAATGTGTTTCAATGTGTATTTTGAAGTGTCCAAATGAAATTAATTAGATTTACATTAATTCACATAAAAATAATTCCCTCGGTTTTTGTCGGTTTCGAATTTCGCCGATTGATTTCAGAGGGATTACCAAGGTAATCACCGTACTTTAATGCACTTATCAACTCATTTCTAATGCAGCTGGTTGCACAAAAATAATTTCATATAAAAAGCTTCAAATAGTAAGCACGATGGTACAACATTTGTATAAATACTACTCAAATCATGGTAAAAGGTACTTTGCAAGACACAAGTGAGTTTGAAATTGTGCCAATGAAAAAAATATGTCGCGAAAAAAGCAAAAAAAAAAACTAAGTTAAAATGCAAAAAACTAGACAAATTTAAATTGTAATGTTGGATTTTTGACATGACAGCAAGAATCATTCATCGCTAATTTATGATGTCTGAAAATGTCAATAAATGTAAAGTTGAGTGTGGTAAAATATTTTTTTTTGTTTTCGGTCAGAAAGTCCATGCAACACTTTCAGAAAAAACGTTCGACATACTGAATTACGTGTTTGTTTATGACAGAGTAGAAACGCTGCTTCGAGGGCATTTAGTTATTATCAGGTAAATTCACAACTGAAAAAATCACATTTTACAAAATCAGGTAATCGCAGTGCTATGCAATTAGAAAAATTGTGACTAAGTACTTTTTGCTCGAAAAATGATCTCTAAACAGCTGTTGCACTGGTCTTGCGATATGACACTGCTCAATGTTGCATAAAATTGTTTTTGTCTTCGCATTTTGTTTGCATTATTGCATGCATTAATGTAAAAAACTTGCATCTATATCAGGAACAGGAAGAGCGAAACGCAAGATCTGGCTAGTTTTTAAGGACATGCTTGTGATACAGTTATATTTTTCTGCTTCTCGAATTTACGATATACACAACATTCTTGATGGCACTTTTTCAAAATGACTTGTTCTAGCAATTTTTCATCTCATGCCTTAGTAAATAAATTTTGTTATAATGATGCTTAATCGCCCAACTTTAAATCAATTTAAGCAATAATAATTTTAATAACTCATAAAATTTGATCTTAAATTTATCGGAATCGAATTAATTTTATTTAATATGAGATGCCGTTTAACCTGTTTCTAATAATTGATGATTACTTTAACATAGACGAAAATAGTCAGAAACACTTTATAAGCACGATCTTCCATGCAGAAAAGTTGTGTCATCAAAACAGGATTAAAGAAATATGCATAAAACAGATCAATTATTAATGAACTGTATTTCAATTCATTATATTTGTATCTGTACAAGAGACAGGTGTAAATTTATAAAATAGCCAAAAGAACATTTACTTGAGAAAGAAGAAATAAGAAATAAAAAATAATATTCACATGTTTATATATTAGGGCAGGATTTATCGACCACGGATTCTTAGGCACAACACTAATCCTTATGTATTATTACACATACATAAATATCGCTCATGAAAAGAATAAAAGNACCGAGTGTGCACCGTTCGACTACGCCATTGCTTAAGCTTGTTTTCGTCGTGGAACTTGTCATCAAATGGCGCTCGCGTGCTTCCTGATAAATTTTTTTTTTGCGAAAAATTTGCTGAACATTGAAGACATCATTAATATAAATATAATTTTTATGGACTGTAAATAATAAAGGGTATTTAATAGGTCCGCTGCTTGTTTAAACTCAACAGTTTGTACAATATCCGCTATTGGTCTAGATTCGACCAATCCTGACGCGACACGAATCGGCGATGACGTTTTACCAAATTATAGGAGTTTTTTTTAGCGTGTATGTACGAATACTGTCGCAATTTTTTCGCCGTGATATAGGAATCCGAACTATATGAACCCTTGTTATAGGGGGGGTCGACTGTATTTAATAAAATTATTATTTCTCTCCAGAATCTCATACAAGTTATGGAAGGGTAGTATAAAAATTTTACGTATACTGTACTTTTAATTTTAAGATTTATTATATCACAGTACTTTATTTATGATCCAATGAATAGAAAGTCTTACATTTCTGTATTAAATTTGATTTCAGAATTGGTAAAATTTACAAATTTAACAATAATTTGATATGTAATTCAAACATCAAATGTTAACTTCAAATGTTTATTTATTTGTAAAGTGTAACGACAGTGACATGACAAGCTGCAGCATGTATTACACAAGTTCAGATTATAAAATCGAAAAATTAAAAGGAAAAGAAGTGAAAATATTCAAAATGCCTGTAAGTATAAGAAATTTTACTAATTGTTACCATGAAGTTAAAATAAAAATTTTGGTACAAACTTGCATTATATCTACGTACAAAAAATAGAACGAAAGTAGATTTTCAACAACAAATACGTATAACAGTCATCGGTATAATATTTACACTGCACAATACTTTACACAAAAATCACTATACATTATTATAAAACATACTAAATTGTATACAGGCAGTAAAATTCTAGGCACGTTTGCTCTGAATTCTTATTATGTAATTGGCAATATCTCCTGTAAAAATAGTTTCGCACACTAAATACCCATCACCTGCATCTACAGCGAATATGCTTTAACATTTACTGCTAATTTATGAGATCATAACAGTTATTTTTATATTTTAATTAGGGATTAAAGGGCTTACAAGATAGCGACGCTCGACGTTCGATGTTCACGTTTTAATAGAGGGGTTGCGGCCGAAGTTTTTATCTTTAGAGAGGTTGTGGTCGAGGTTTTCATCGCGAAAACGTGAACGTCGGACGTTCAGCGCCGCCATCCTGTAAGCCTAGAAGTTTGACAATGGCGTTTGGAACGTCGCTCATGATTCCACTGACGTTCCAAACACCATTGTCAAACTTCTAGGCTTACAGGATGGCGGAGCTGAACGTCCGACGTTCACGTTTTCGCTATGAAAACCTCGGCCACAACCTCTCTAAAGATAAAAACTTCGGCCGCAACCTCGCTGGAAACACATTCATTTCATATCAACAAAATTATATCAGTCAACATTTGAGAAATATATTTTTCATACTTTTCTTCAATTCGCTCATAAAGTTCTCTTCTATGTAATAATGAATGCTGTAAATTATCAATGGAGGAGACAGTATTACATGTAGTACCATTTCTGTAGTTGCAATGAACAGTTAAAATGGCCGACTATAATTAAACTTTTATAATGCTTTTAACATGCTGTATGATTCTGATGAATGATAGTATCAAACTGAATGTAATACTCCACAAAGCTGCCAAATTTCCAATATTTGTACTGTTCCCACAGATTAACCTGCCTTTTTATTCTTACTTGGCTACTAGTTTTTCAAAAAATGTCATTTGCATATCCACAAACATATTATATTAAATTTAAAATTGAATAGTAATAATTCAGTTACTATTACCTAGTGTACATAATATAATTTTTAAGATGCACTTTCACAAATTAATAAAGATTAATTTGTATTTCAATACAGGATGCCTACAAAAATATAAATAATAAGGCACAATTGGATGAATATGTCAATCTACTTTGCCAATGTTTAAAAATAAGGTTTGTTACTTAATTTAGGTATCTATATATGTTATTTATTTATTTAATAATAAATTTTTTCAGGTATATACAAGTTTATAACTTGGATAACGCTGACATTTCGATAGTACCTACAATTGCCATGTTCTGGGAACATTACGTTTCTTATTCTTCTCCTGTATTTGACATATCAACTTATTTTGTCATCAGAGCAGCAAGACCAATCGATAAGTTCATTTCCTTGATCAAGCCTTTTTCCATAAACGTAACTTTTTTAATTATGTTATACTATTTTCGAAATCTTAATTAGTGTATATAACAATTACATACCTAATAATGTAACAATGGAAAATATGGAAATATAAAAGAGAATATAAAATATACTAGAAATATATTTTATATTTCAGATATGGATATGCATTTCCATCACAACTGTGTTATGTGTTTTCATCATACATACCATGTTGAAAAGAGAAGCTCAATTTTTAGACAAGGAGCATCCAAAATTTTCATCTCTCTGCTGGATATTAATAAGAAATGCTTTTCGTCAAGGTGGGGAAAACAGATCTTTAGCGCATATTTTATTAAAATAAGTAAAATATACTTTCATGCACTTTTGAATACATTACAAATGCAGTTAGTTACACCAAACTATTTACACATAAAGTGCTCTGCAGCTTTAAGTAATGACCACAATGGCACCAAAATTTGTATTTGTACCTGTTAAAGAATCAGGTGTAATTTTATAAATTATCCAACAGAACATTGACTTGAAAAAGAAGAAGAAATGAGAAATATATTGGTATTATTTCTCATTTCTTCTATCATTTACTCATTTACTAATATGGTATTGGTAAATGAGTCATATTGGTATAAGGTTTATATTGGGGCCGGATTTATCGACCACGTGTTTCTAATCCACAACACTAATCCCTATTTAGTAATTATGTACTACACATACATAAATATCACTCATGAGAAACTTGAGTAAAAGTTTTTTTCGTTTATTTTTCTGGCAGATACGGAAATTGATCACATTATTCTCCGCACATTTCGAATTCTGATTGGATGTTGGATCCTAGCGGTATTTGTCCTTACTTCAGCATATACGGGAGTTTTGCCTTCCTACTTAATTCATCCAGGAAATGAAAAAATTCCCAAAAATTATATGGAATTGACACAATCGGTAAAAGATGGAAAATATAACATTAGTATGACTTTCTCCTCTGATGAAGAAGCAATTTTTTTAATTAATGGGGTATGTAAATTATTATTTATATAATTCTGTATTCAATATACAACTGAAAATAATTTCAATAATTTAAAAAATAACAATGTATACTCGATATTTTAACTTGTTATTTGATATATTGCATTTCATAAATATAATAATTTATCATTTTTTACTGATAAATATCTAATTGTATTATTTTTTACTATTAGCGGAAATTACCCGCTATGTTTCAGATATTTTTAAAAAGTATTGAAGAAAATCCAAACAATAGGGTAATATTAGGTAAAGGCAATGAACTGCAGAAGGTTCTTGAAGGAACAGATGCGTTACTTGCAACAAAATTAAGGATTGATCCTTTAACAATGAAATTTCGTAAAGAGAATTTTTACATTTCACCAGATTCTCTTTTCACTAACTTTCGCTTCCTGCAGATAAACAAGCTTCGACTTTACCAACAAAAAGAGGTGTTTGAGATGTAAGTAATTGTAACCGATATATTCTAATGCAATTTCTCTAATTTCTTATATACAATTTTCAGGATAAATATCTTACATCAAAGTGGATTATCATTGAAACTGCAACAAGATCTTATAGAAGAAGATCGAAGATATTACGAATTTAATTTCTATGATAAGAAGAAAGATGAAAAGTATCTGAAAATGGAAGATCTTAAAGGACCATTGATTTTGTTAATAATAGGATATATTCTTTCTTTATTGGTGTTTATTGGAGAAATTTTGATTGGGAAATGTAAGAAAGGAGGAATTCTTCCATTAATTTAATATTTATTTACATATTTTAAACAGTTTAATAACTTACATTTCACACAAAGTATTCAATGGCTTTACTACTTTTGAAACTAAACACATTAATAATGCTCATTTATTCATCACAAAATAATTCATATTATTTAATTAGTCCCAGCTATATTGACACTAATACAAAAATTATTAGTCACATTTCATTGTAAGTTTTTTAAAATGAGTGGCACATAATATAAAAGCTTTGACATTGTTCAAGTTATTATTAATATAATTTTATAGATGTTAATATTTTTTATGAGGATTTTATTATTAGAAATGCATTAAATTTTTATCGTCATCTGTTGGAGATTGCCTGCAATTTTGTATTTGATAAATGCATTCGAATATTGAATTAAAACGTTTCAAAATGTCACAAGGATTATGGTAAAAATTGCAAGAATATAGAAATAAATAGAAGAAGGCTGTAGGGTCATTAAAATTGCTGTTTTAGTGAACCGATCTACTTTTGGAATTTATAAAATTTTAGGAAAATCATTACCAAATCTCATTTAATCTCATTTAACATCGGCCAGAAAGAATCAAAATCATGTCTTAATTAAAGAGAAGAAAATCGATTTCTGCGTTTTTGCATAACAATGGGAAAAAATTTGACAAATCAATTTGATTTGTCAAATTTTTTTCAAAATGAATTTAAAATTAGTGTTAATAAAAAATTTACAGCAACTGAACATTTGAAATTTCTTGCAATGATGAAAAACCACTGCTTACTGCTAACTAACTAAACAACACAAATTGATAAAAATGCAGTGGGCTAAAGATCGCATGCTGTGGAATGACCAATGGCTCTCGGTTCTTTTCAGGGATGAAAAGAAAATTTGGATGGGTCGGATGACATTTTTTTGTTGAATTGTTATTTGAAACCATTCTATTAGAATGGTTTCAAATAACGAATTTCGAATAAAGATTATGTGAATAATTCGCGTTAAAATACTTTTATTTTGATACAATTACTTTATAAATGAATCAAATTTCGAACTATACAATCTGATTTGAAATAGGCTATATATTTTAAGTTAATTATTTGAATTAATTTAAATGGAATAAAATTTACCAGATACATTACATAATTATTCGATAGTTTTTATTTCTAGAAACATTTGATTATAATATAGTAAATGCTCTTTACTGTCAAATAAGACTATGGAATAGGAGTCGTTGTCGGGAGGAATTTTTGGCCAGAGGAGTCGGAGTCGGAGTTGGTAAAAATGTGTGGACTTCGAGTCCCGCATTTGAAATTTACTTTAGTTCTTTTATTTAATTGACAGAAAATTTTTTATATATTTATTAATTTTTTAAAATTTTTCTGTATTTTGTTATAATTTGTTTATTTTAAATGCAAAATGCATCAATTTAATTTATTAAGTATATAGTATTCTTTGTAGTATTTGTGTTTACTAGTTAAATTATAATGATCCAATTGAATTTGAATATATTTTTAATTATTCCTTTATTATCGTTGTTATTATTATTGTTCTAAATAAGTACTCTATCTTTCTGAATGAAAAATAGAGTACATATTGCCAGATTAATTAATCATAGTACATATTTTTCTTTTCTGAGCAACGGGCTGAAGTAGCTAGATGGCACACTTTGTAGTTCGACTTATTTTTTTGGAAAGGTGAAAATGAAGTGCAAAAGCTGTAGAATAGATATATGCAGATGTAGAATTTTATTGCTCCCCATTTTTCTCTTACTGTTTGTTAAAAATTAATTTTTTTATACAAATAAATATTAACGTAAGCTAAATATTAAAAATACAGTAGAGCATCGATTATCCGAAAGTCAATTATCCGAAAGAATTCCAGTCGGCAAATTTAAATTTTCGCCAGTGCTGTGGCGCTGCAATCTTTGGCTATATCTTGGGCTATTCAAATATTTTACGTTTTTGATACTAAATTAACTTCTGATGTATAATATTTTATTGTTTTTATATTTTTCAATATATTTATTTTGTTCGTACAAAATAAAGAAATAAGTTTTAACGATACAATAGTCACGATTATTATTTTAAAAAGTTTACGTTAGGCTTAACATCGACGAAAATTCAACGCGAAGCGACACTCAACGGAGAAAAATTTTAACATGGGATAGGTTAATATATTTTTTCGTATATAATCGGTTATCCGAAATGTCGATTTTCCGAACAACCCTCGTCCCCAATTGATTCGAATAATCGACGCTCTACTGTACTAACTATAAAAGTATTTGGATAAACGCCCCAGGCTCCTTTTAAAGTTCAGAGTAGGGTATAATATATAAGGTATTTTATGGGGGCAGAGGCACTTATAGGAGGCTTTGAGTGCCTCTGCCCCCATAAAATGACTTGGTATTTAATTTTGTCGGAGTCGGGAGTCAGAGTCGGCCTACTAAAATTATCAGTCGAGGTTTTTTTACCGACACCGTAGCCCTGCTGTCAAATATAAATAACTTAAATAATTTTGAAGAATAGTAATACTTTTTATATACAGTAGAGCCTCGATTATCCGACTCAATTGAGGACTGGGGTTGGTCGGATAATTAAAAAGTCGGATAACCGAAAAGTATGAAAAAATCCATTATTACTGTAGTATATTATTATATTCCATGTAATTAGTATATTAGTATATCGCTATTAACCTACTTCGCGTTGAATTTTCATCGATGTTAAGCCTAACAAAAATTGTTTAAAATAATAATCGTCGCTATTGTATCGTTAAAAATTAGAAAATTAAGCCTCGTTTAAGTACTGGCTCCCTTTCATGGTCGAATGAGTGTTGCCAGCTAAAACACGTAAAAATAATATTAAAGTATTTTTGTATTTTTGTATACTGGCACAATGAAGTGACCTTCTTTATCAACACTTGGCAAGTTTTCAATCTTTATTCAGTTAGATTGAATAAAGATTGTCGGTTAATCGGGGGTCGGATAATCGAGGCTCTACTTTACAATGATAAAAAAGAAGTTTCTGATACTACTGTTTTATATAATATATAGCCCACATATATAATTGCAAGAACAACACGTGCAATTGCTCGAAAAGTGAAGAAAAATTCATTTCTAGAGTCTAGGTTATAGGGTTTTTGATTTTGAGAGAGAGAGAGAGCAATGTTTCTCCGGGAATTTTTATATTGCAAAAATATTAATGTGTTTTTTGCAAATGCACGTATAATTCTATAATGAAATTAGACAAAGAAGAAAGTAAATTATTAAACGCTTTTATTTTAACTGGCTTTGTGTCATATCTTCAAATTTTAAAACTTAAATTTAATCGGCTTCTAATTAGATAACTTTTTTAAAGTTCGATGACAATACATCTTAATGATTTTTTAGGGGTTGGCTCTTCCCCGAAACTGGAAAAACATAACCAAATGTGGAATTTCATCAGTAATTTCAATTGCATAATAACATTTTCTATTGATATTTGTGTATGTAAATGCATTGTAGTGATGTTCATGCTGGATGGTGAGGTTAGGACTATTCCCAACCTCACCATTCCTTCTCGAACTCTAAAAACATGACGAAAATATAATCTAATTAGCAATCATATTAGTAAATAATATTTCGCGTGCGTTTAATTATATTGTAGTGTTGTAATTTAGTTTCTGTCTTAATAACCTTCAAAAATTTTCGCGACACATATACGATCCTCTCGTGGCACACTGGTTGAAAATCACACACACACACACACACAAAATAACAACAAGAAATATGTCTGTAACAATTTGAATCTTATTAACTTCTTCACATGACATGGAGTTACTTTTAGCGCTTCGCTCTTAAAATATCAGCACTGATCGGTGGTCAAACTATCTCAGACTTACATCATATTTTATTCTAAATCACATTTTCCTCTTCAATTTGAACCGAGATTTATCTATGAAAAATTCATACACTTAGAAATATAAATATATATATTAGGAACAGTACANGTGCTTTGCTGCAAGTGTGCAAAGAGCTGTAAATAAATTATTGTGAGAACCAAGGGAATCGAGAAGTTAGCTCGGGCCCTTCTTACCGGCTTCTTGCCAGGGGATAGCTAGAAGGACTTTAAATCGAGTGGGAGGGAGATGAGTAAGTCGGTAGGCGTCCGTTCTCCGAATAATAGACTGGGTTCAACAAAACAACTAATTAAATTATCAAACTTAAAACTAGGATACATAAGGTTACAAGTATATCTAAATATGGCATTATCGCGTTATAAGTACAGAAATATATTCGCGAGAAACTTGTAGTAAGTAGCGGATACGCGTTATACTGTACTTAACCTAAAAACCCGAGAGAGAGGGAGTTCACAAACTTCGACAAAAATACTTCATGTCTTCTTTATACGACGTCGTCAGGACTATTGTGGACCGTGGAGGTTGTTGGGGAAGGTGCTGCGATTAAGTCTCGAGAGGTCTTTGGAGCGGAGTTTCGAATAGAGTTACCGGCCTGGAGGCTTCTTTATGACGATTGCCTCAAGGTGCCAGTGCAACCCTTTTTTATACACGTCCCGGAGGGGGAACTACCAGAAAAAGTTCTGATGCAATCCTGTCTAAGTTCGACTTGTGTCCTGGTATTGTTTCTGTTAATTGTTAGAAATCGAACCTTTCGACAAATGTATTACCTCTTTCTATCCGGGATTGTTACTCATTTTACCTCATAAAATTGATAACATCTGTCAAACATACTAAACTAATGGCCGGTAGTGTTTGTGTTACAACCTCAGTAATAATTTTAAATTGGAGAAATATTCGATCGATCTTATCTATTAAGAAACCGAGAAAAATAGGATGTGTGTGGGTTTTTTCTCTACTCGAGCTTTGACTCGATTCTCTCGTCTTTGTTAAAACATATAACTAATTAATTTAATTATTTAATTACTTTCTATTTGAATCTCACATTATTCTTAGTTCCATAAATGATATTAATGGCTTTTATCAACTACAGTCCTTTGCAGAATGAGTG